TCCCCTGCCTGATCTCCTCGGCGCGCATGAGGAAGACGTTCAGTACGCCGGCGCTGGCTACGGCGGCGAAGGGCACGAGGCGGCTTAGTATGGTTCGTGTACTCGGGCTGAGGCGTTTGAGCCGCGGCACCAGGGCGTTGAGACCTAGTGCGACGGAGCAGGAGGCTGAGACGGCGAGGAGATAGGATTTGGTCATCTGCGAGGTGGACAGTGGGGTTGATTTGTTGGCGTTGGCGCTGTTGATCCCGACTTAGAGGGATTGGTTCGCTATCTGCCAGAGGAGGGTGCCGGTTGTGCCCATGTTGGGGGTCAGCATGCCGGCGGTGACGATGAGGTTCGAGATGACGAAGCAGGACATGCGGAAGGGGAGGAAGACGGGCTGGCCCGTGTCTGTTTGTCTCGAAGGTGTTTATCATCAGCTTGGGCTGGGAGGGGACGCTTGGGGGGGGTGGATGTAGGATGCAGACCAGGATGCAATGTCGAGTCTACGATCTTCTTCGCCTGCCATATCTCTGGTGTCATTGTCTTGATCTCCCCTTTCTTGTAGGATGACACCAGTCGTTTGGCATTTTCGAGGCCAGAGGAGGAGACCAAAAGGGTTCTGTGGGTTGGACAGCGGCGGTCAGCAACGATATGGTGACAGGGGAGCAAATACGCAGTGGCGGTATACCTACCACACCATTCCTGGCGAGGAGGTCTTCCATGCTGTGTCAGTCCAAGTCACTGACCTGGGATCTGCTATGCCGGCTGACTGCTTGACTCGGCCCCAGTAGGTGGAGAGGTCATATTGCGAGGCAGGGAGTTCTCTGCTCCCAGGCAAGGAAGCTGACATGATGAATTGAACAGCTGTGATTTTCCCAAATCGCGGCAAAGCAAGAGTTGCAAGGATCGAAACAATATGTGATAGATTGGGAGATTGGGAGATTTGTCGAAGTTGATCGAGGCACAATTGGCAACCGATTAGGGGAGGGGAGCTGAGTGATTGACTCCCCACTCCCCCCCAACAGGTAGACACACATCGGGACCACTACCAGGATCACTCATATGCATACTACAGTAAATATCAGAGGCGAGATGTGAATCACCGCAACTCATCCGCATCTTCACTTGAGCCTCCATGGCTAAGCATGGTGTGACGGAATTCGGAATTCGGAATTCGGTAGCAAAAGATAGACATGAACAGAGCTACTGGTTGAATGAGCACAAGGACAAGGACAAGGACAAGGACAAGGACGCTGACCTGGATCAGGCGTAGATTCTTTTGTATGAATGAGCAGAGTCTCAACAAAAGAGCTGTCTTTTGGTTTTGGTTTGATTTTATGCACAAGAGGCATGCCATTTCCGGCTCCGGCGCCTGGCCGTCAAGTCCCCCATACGAGCCATCACAGATAGAAATAGTAGTGATAGGTCACACGAAGCGATCAGCACTAGATCCTGAACAGAGTCTAGCAAAAGATGGAAATGATGATGCCCTCTTCCCAATGCATGCACTCATGTCTCCTGATTTCATGTGGACTGACAAACACGCCACTGTGGCCTTCGCCGCCATCGCTGCCATCGCTGCCATTGCTCATGAGTTTTCATGTCCCTCAACCCGTCAGGCTTAAACAGTTCCTTTCACATCTATGCCTCACGCATCCTCTTCGCCTGCCGACCTTCAGTCTGCTGCCGCATATCAGCCTGGTGTTGTGCATCTGCTCGTGCTCGTGCCTCAGCTAGCCGCGCATCTTCTTCCCTTTGGTCTCGAATTCTCAGAGCTTCGGTGCCGTCATCGATCATTGTTTCTTTGAACCAGGGGTGTTTGAGGGCTTGCTTGGCAGTGATTCGCTGCTTGGGATCATATACAAATATCTTCCTGAGAAGGTCCAAGAGCTGCTTGTTGAAAGGACTGTTGTTGGGAATAAACTCCTGTGGGAAGACGTTAGCTGTTGTAGCACAGGGCCAGGGTGGCTGCTACTCACGTAGAGCCGCTTCATCGCTTTGACATATTTCCGTGATGCACGAGTCGTATCTTGCTGTGGATAGTCCAGTTTATTGCGATTGAAGTACTTCATCGGGCTCGAGCTTGACCCTCTGGTGGCCTGCTGAACTTGCTTGATCATCTTAGCATCGATCTTAGCATTGCAAACAGCCTCCATCATGGCTAAATGCTCGAGGTTGTCATGTGTCTGAAACAGAGCATCACCGGTAAAAAATTCCACAATGATGCAGCCAATACTCCAGATATCGCAAGGAAAGCTCCAGCCCAGTTGGAGAATAATCTCAGGAGCTCGATAGTGTCGAGTCGAGACCACGGTGGAATGATACTCATCGTCGAAGGTGGCTGATCCAAAGTCAATCAGGCGGATTTCGCTGTCCAGCAACACTCTCCGTTGACGAGCTGTTCGCGAGGTAATGTGCGAGGAAGAGGGTATGTTTCGGTTGTAGGTGAACGTTTGGTATGCTCCATTTACCAGGAGAATGTTCTCCGGCTTCAGGTCAGTATGGATGAGATTGAGATCGTGAAGGACTGCACACATAATCAGTAAAATGACAGAACGTGGAGGACTGGCACCTACAAGCAACACTGGTAAACAGCTGTCGCGCAAAACTTTGGATCTGTGTGCTTGGAAATGGGACAAAGCTATTACCCTTCAAAAAATCGAAGACGCTTTGGCCAAGCAAGTCCGTAACAATGCATATGTGGTTCCGATAATCAAACGAGTCTCGAAGGTGTATACATTTGTTGCGATTCGTCTTGTCATTCAGTGATAAGGTTGAGAGGACTCGCAATTCAATCCGAGAGGCGTCACGATATTTCTGCACTGATCGAATGATTTTTACAGCACATTTGGTCTGCTTCTTTTTGTCCCAGGCCTCTACAACTTTGCCGAAGGTTCCCTGGCCCAACAGCTTGTCGATGGTATCTGCACGCGTGTCAACAACACCATATAGCACTCGTCGAGGGGGAAACGCACATCTGTCAGTAAAGTCTGCCCCTGGAGTGACAATGTAGTGACCGTCATCGTCATCAATCTTTTGATGCTTGCTGCCATACTACAAGTTGTCAGCAACAGGACCGGACAGTGGAGGATGACACCTACAGCAGGTATCACGGGAACATGGACTTCCGCAGCCTTTATTGGTGGCTTGGGGGGCGGGACATAGTCTGCAAAAGCATCGCTTGCTGCCTCCTGTTGCTTCCGTTTCGTTTGCGCCCGTGTCTCCTTTGGGGGTGCACGTTTTCTTTTTTGTCCGACATTTACGTCCTCATACGAGTTACTAGCACCGCTACTACCATAAGATCCAAGCGATGTCGGAGCAGTCGTATGTAGCGAGGTAGTACGATCAGTAGAAACCGAAGTTCCTGACGAATGCTCATCGAATTTCGCCGGATGTGTTGAGAAGGCAGGGCTATCATTATATCTGGCATCATATCCCTCGTCCACTTTTCGTTTCCTTCCAGCTGTAGCTTGTACATTGGGCGGGGCTCTTTTGCTTCCTCGCTGATTCAAGGGCTGGGATGCTGGTGTTGGGGGAGGAGGGCTATCGTCGTCTATCACAATGATTTCTTTGGGAACTCCATTCTTGTAATATTCCTTCCAATCAGGTTGTTTCTGCGCTCGATTCGACATGGCAGACGTTGATTGTGAAGGTGCTATCAGCGGAGCATGAAAGCTTTGTTTGACATGCTGCGGAGATTGTTGCGATGATCGATAGGACGAAGATTGGTGGCCCGCAGGGAAGGTGTGATACGAGCTGGTTAGCCTCGGGGTAGGCACGCTATTGTTCGCTGGGTATGAAGCAGCATTGGCCTGGTATGGATTTTGGTGAGGATAGGCGTATGGCAGGTGAGACAGAGTTGCTGAGGCTATTGAAGGCGTCGACATCTTTTCAGGAAATCTGGGTCCTCAGCTCCTTGGCCCTCAGATCCTAATAATGTAGAGGAAGTTTAAGGATTTTTGCACCTTAAGACACCTTCCGTGATGACGATCAAGTGGCTACCACAACAGAACCAGGCTTATTAAATCATTCCGAGTCAAGGGTGAATCGTCATCATATATCCCGGGCCGGAGAACAGTCGAAGATTATGCGGCGATGTTGTGTAATGTGGTTCCGTAGCCTGAGAAGGGACCGCGTTTCGAAAGGTACGGAAGCATGAGCAGGTCTCACATATAGTAAGAGATTCTATCGAGATATTGAGCTCTGCATTGCTTCTTTAGGTTGCAGAGCAGTGATTTTGACCACAGGCGATGTACTCGATGGAGGAAGAAGGGTGGCTGTTGGTTCGATTGATGTCGCCCTCGTGGAGGAATGCAAGTTGAGGTTAGGTTTTTGGAGGGCACCTGCGTCTGCGCCTAACGTCTACATCTGCCGGCCCACCAGCCTTAGTGGAACTGTGGGATTACTGTGCTTTAACTAAGTTAGTTAGTGATTGTTCCTTGCCATGTCACTATTAACTACACAACAATGCTCGGCACTACCAATCGACGATGGTTGGGGGCGACATAATAGTAATACCACTTATACCATCAATAGCAACAATAATGAAATTGAAGCGCTGTGAACTGTTGTGACTTGAATCTACCCCCATTCCTCCCCCTCTTTATTGAAACGTCATCGAGTGACCCACACCTTACCAATGATCAACACTTTGCATATGATCGTCTATCAAACAATGGCGAGCATGAATAGGAGTTAGTGACAGCATCTGCAAATAAAAGTTGGACGTAATAATGCCTAGGGTTTGCCACATGCCTATGTAACAAAGTTCCACGGGTAATACAAGTACGTAGTGCTTACAACGCTGTTATTCATCATTTTGCACAATGAACATATACTGAAGGATGATACAAGTACCAGGAACATCTTCGATTGTCAATCCTGCAATTCTGCGTAGCTTAGAAGGCCCTATCACGACCTCACCAGCTTTTAGCACTTACTCCACTCATCTGCTGGCTTCCCAAGGCCGACCGTATGCGCCTAATCCGTGTACCATGACCATGGCTATGGCCATTTAATGCAGCCCCCATTCCAAAAGCACCCTTGGGGAACTGGGATAACGCCCTGGAAAGAGAGAAGACCCGACAAACTCTTCGAGAGAAGCAAAACTGATGCATCGAGTGTATGTCATACACGCAGGCGAATATCCTTGATCCCCACGAACGCCAGGCAATGGTAAATTCGAAATGTAAAATGTCCATCTCCCACCACAGATGTTTCAATCATCTCTTCTCTGGCTTTTCCGGCGTGTTGTAGCCCTTACTAAGAGCTTTAATAGCCTTGCCGTCAGTCTCGAGCACTAACAACACATCTCGTGCCTGAACAGCGCGATCGTCGTTTTCATCCCATTCACCGAACTGTTTACCTCGCCCTGCCGACGGTCCAGTCCGAACACTGCCCAAGGTAGAAGCTGTGCTGCTGAGGCCAGCGTTACTCCTATTTGGTGTCGGTCCTGGACTTGCAGCTGGCGATGCTGCACCACCGTTCTGTAGCCAGGAGTACTTCTTGAACTTGTTCGAAGAGCCCAAGCCCATCGCCATTCTTGCCGTCTCGTTCGCGGATTTCTGCTGTTGTGCACCACTTAACTTGGTCTCGGCAGCTTTCTTATCCTTCTTAGTCAATCGCTTTGGCGGCTCAGCCGGAGCAGCGACGGGGGTCTGAGCACCACTTGGCGTAGCAGCACCATTAGCAGCGCCTATGTCTGCAGGCTTCCCTGCACCACGTTTGGCACGCTTAGCAAGCCGAGCTTGCTCCGAAGCACGATTCGCATTGGAAACTTTCTGAAAAACCGAGACAATTTGGTGGGCGGTGCTCGCAGGCTGTTCTTCATCCATCTGTGAGAACGTTCCTTGATTGAGTTAGCACATGTAAGAACCCAATGCCACAAACATGCTCACTTTTCAGAGAAGTAGGTGCCGCAGCATTGACAGCAGACTGAGACACGATAGACGGAGCAGGAGGGGTGATTGCAACAGCCTTCCAATCTGTGGGAACACGCCCGGCAGAATGATCACGCCGCTCACAAGCGAGGCGGGCAGAATGATCAAGAAGGCCGGTGATCCTGTCCCTAGTAGCCAGAGATACCAACTTCATAATATCACCCAACACGTCGCCAGACTCGGTACTTATAATAGTTTGTCCGCGATCAATAATCAGTGAAGCACCGTCATGACCAGTGACCCGCGTTGTCTGTGGTCTCGTTTGTCCTTTGGTGGCATAGAAAAGCCCGTCTTTGGGTGATTTGATGCCATTTTCGTAGGACCATTTATCTAGTCTCTTGCCCAAAGAATCACCCTGGAGAAACGCATCCCACAATGGATGTTGGGCCCATCTTCCAGCGCTAAAATCCGCTTCAGCCTGTCCTCTCCGTTGCATATCCTCCGCGTTCTCTTCATTGCCATTCTGATATCCACTCGATCCAGGTCGCTCGAAGCTACCAGCGCCGGAACCAGGACCAAAAGTCGTACCTTGAGAACCAAATGATGTATTTGCCCCTTGTTGTTGCGAGTAGTAGGTGGAACTGGTCAAATTACGCTCCTCTTCGTCCAGATTGACTCCAGTGCCAGCCAAAGGGTCTTCCAGGGTACGGATGTCGGTTGCCTTATCAGCAGGTCTGGATGGAGGACCCATCGAGCCTGGAGCAGCTGGTGCACTGTAGAAGCCATTGACGCCAGCTCCATTTGGAGGACTGTTTGCACGGGGTAAAGACACAGATGCAAAATGTGGAGAATTGACAGGCGACTGAGTGCCACCTGAGTATTGTGTCTGTCGTTTGAACTGAGTCTGCGATAATTGAGACGACATATTTGGTAGAAACGAAGGAGAAGGCGAACCGTACGAAGGCGAGAAGGCGTTACTCGGCGGCTGATATGGCGGAGGCTGACGCGATGGCATGGTGGGATTGTGATATGACATGACCGTTATCTGAAAAGTAGTGAAGAGACCCCAGATTCAACGTTCCCAGACTATCAGCCGAGCCTGAAAGGCTCCGAGTCCTGCTCGTCGTTTTGATCATCCCAGAATATTGTTTCAGAGCCAGCTCAACTTGATTCGGGATAGCAAAGGATCGTTCTCGATGGCTGTCGGTCATGCGCTCGCTCGGGGAGGTTGATGTCAAAGGCATCAGAGAAAGTCCCGCAGAAGTTCTACCAAGAGCTCAGTCACGTGCAGTGGCCTTGGCAAGAACTGTCAATAATGCGAAGCCATTCTTCTTTGTCTGCCTACCGCTTCAACATTCCACCTCGTTCCTATTCAATACACAAGCCACTCATTTACCGTAAATACAATCAACGAGGCGATCACTCTCCCTATAACACATGCTCCAAAGTGCCCAATATCTTGAGTCACTATCTCTTGCGGGCTTCGGCATAAGCCGCTCGCGCAACTTCAGCCGGGAGCTGAGGTTTACATACTTGTTGCATGACTGCCCAGGCGATCCTACATTTCCTACAAGATGGCCACAAAGAGGAAAGCGGCGCAAATGGGCGCAGCCACGGACGAGGATCCTGCAGACCCTTCTGATGAGCTAGTCTTCACTGGACTCGGTGGTTGTAATGAAGTTGGACGCTCATGTCACATTGTTCAATACAAGGGCAAGACAGTCATGGTAAGTCTCTATCCTACGGAGTCTCTTTGGTCGCTGTCGGCTCATGTTTTGACAGCTTGATGCGGGCATGTATTCAGGTAGAGATGGTATCGCAGCCCTGCCCTACTTCGACGAATTTGATCTCAGCACTATCGATGTTCTCCTTATCAGCCAGTACGTACCGCTCTATTCCCCTTCTATCAGCATCTACAAGTCCTCCCTTTCTACGGCGGAAATCGTCGTGTTGTGGATCAGGGAAAAAGTCGCAGATGAGCAGATGCTACAATGTGTTGGATCGGGGATGCCTGCTCCTCGATCATGTATCCATCCATTCATGTATCAGTCTAGATGAACCACAATACAATGATTTTCAAATCCTCGTCCGTCTAGATATGCTGTGTCTTGACTGTTTGCACATTATCTCGAGAGTTTTCTCTGCCATGGGGCCCCGATTGCCATGCACTGCTACGGTGCAGAGCTGACTAGATACCCACCAGTTTCCATCTCGACCATGCCGCTGCCCTGCCTTACGTCCTGGCAAAAACCAACTTCAAGGGTCGAGTCTTCATGACTCACCCTACGAAAGCCATCTACAAATGGCTAATCCAAGACTCCGTCCGAGTATCTAACACCTCGTCCACATCCGACCAACGTACTTCCCTCTACACCGAACAAGACCACATCTCCACTCTACCCCAGATCGAAACCATTGACTTCTATACCACTCACACCGTCTCATCAATCCGTATAACTCCTTACCCAGCAGGACACGTGCTTGGCGCCGCCATGTTCCTCATAAACATTGCAGGCCTCAACATCTTCTTCACAGGTGACTACTCTCGCGAGCAGGACCGCCATCTAATTGCGGCAGAAGTGCCCAAGAACGTCGGTAAAATCGACGTCATGATTACTGAGTCGACATTCGGCATCTCTAACGCACCTCCCCGTGCCGAACGCGAAACCGCTCTCCTCAAATCCGTATCGGGCATCCTCAGCCGTGGCGGCAAAGTTCTTATGCCCGTCTTCGCATTGGGCCGCGCACAGGAACTGCTGTTGATCCTCGAAGACTATTGGCAGCGACACCCGGATCTTCAGAAGATACCCATCTACTACACGGGCAATACGGCACGAAAATGCATGGTCATCTACCAGACCTACATCAATGCCATGAATGACAACATCAAGCGCATCTTCCGTGAGCGCATGGCCGAAGCAGAAGCGTCTGGGAACGCCAAAGGCGTCAGTTCTGGGCCTTGGGACTTTCGATTCGTGCGAAGCTTGAGAAACCTGGACAAATTCGAGGATGTGGGTGGATGCGTTATGCTTGCTAGTCCGGGAATGTTGCAATCCGGGATGAGTCGGGTATTGCTTGAAAGGTGGGCACCAGACCAGAGGAATGGAGTCGTGATGACAGGTTATAACGTTGAAGGGACGATGGCGCGAATGATCTTGCAAGAGCCAGATAGTATTCCAGCCGTGATGAGTGGCAGCGCAGGCGGTGCAGGCCAGAACATGGGAAGAAGGACGAGAGATGGGGATGACAATCAAGTTATGATTCCTAGAAGATGTAGTGTCGAGGAATTTAGCTTTGCAGCACACGTCACCGGCGTCGAAAACGTTGGATTCGTGGAAGAAATTGGGGCGCCGCATGTGGTAAGTTGGCCTTGTCTTGTTGCTGAGAGGCTCCACTAATCACTTTCTCGAAGATTCTGGTCCACGGCGAAAAAGCGCAGATGACACGTCTGCGGTCGAAACTACTAAGTCTCAACAACACCAAATCCACTGACGTAAAAGTGTATAGCCCTCAAAACGCCGAAGAAGTCCGAATACCATTCCGGAAAGACAAGACTGCTAAAGTAGTTGGGCGTCTTGCCCAGATAAATCCTCCGAAGACCACCGACCCCGAGGAAGCCCAAATCTTGAATGGAGTTCTGGTCCAGAACGGTTTCAAGCTCAATCTAATGGCCCCCGAAGACTTACGAGAGTACGCCGGTCTGACAACTACGACCATCATGTGCAAACAGCATATCACACTCAGCGCCGCAGGTATCGATTTGATCAGGTGGGCTCTTGAGAGCACGTTCGGCGCGATCGACGAATTGGGAGCTACCACGGAGACCAAGTTGGACACAAAAGGTGACCAGTTTGTCTCTAATGGTCATAGTAGTGGCACAGCTGGTGGTGATGACTATGATCCAGAGCATGCAGATGAGGAGATACCTCCTTCGCCTTCGCGCAAGTTCCTGGTGATGGGTTGCGTGTCGGTGACATGGTCAGGACGGAGCAAAGAACTGGAGTTGGAATGGGAAGGCAATACGATGAACGACGGCATCGCTGACGCAGTCATGGCGGTTCTGCTCACTGTAGAGAGCAGTCCTGCGGCTGTCAAATACTCATCAAGCAGGAATGGGCATCATCACCACAATCACCAGGTCAATGGACAGAAAGAGAGAAAACCGAGGAATGTGCACGCTGAACTCGGCCCCGAAGAGCGGTTCTCGAGGTTGTGTATGATTCTTGAAGAACAGTTTGGGCAGGGCATCGTACCTATCGAAACGCCGAAGCTCAACATTGGTGCTACCAAAACTGAAAAGATCATTGATAGCGTGAAGGAAGAAGCGGCCGACACTGATGGCGAGAACGAGGACGGTGACGAGGACGCAGAGGCAGAGGCAGAGGCAGAGAAGGCAGAGGCTGAAGAGAGAGCGCGCCTTGCAGCGCTAGGTATCCCAGTACCTGGTCTCGAGATCAAGGTGGATAAACATGTGGCAAAGTTATGGCTTGAGACTTTGGAGGTTGAGTGTGCGAACAACGTGCTGAGAGATCGAGTCAGAGCAGTGGTGGAAAGAGCAGTAGAGACTGTCGCGCCATTGTGGACAGTGAGGGGATTGGCTCAGCGATAGCATCAGCGTTCTAGCATAGTGGTTATACATCAGGAGGCAACAGAATCTATAGCAGCACGACAGCGCCACCTTCATTCTGCATTGGGTCTTCCTTTCTAAGGCCATTTTGAACGCTACGCGTAAATTTGAAATACTGGCTAACTAGTCACACCAGGGACACGTTCAGCCAGGTCCTTCGGTTGCTGCTCATCCATGTTGTAAGCTGGCGCAGTCAGAATATGATTTCGCAATACCCTGTCTGCAGCCCCGGTACCTGGGTACAGTGAGATATTGTGAGGAGCTTTCATTGCCTGAGACAATGTATACGCATCGCCAGCCCCTCGGATGGATCGAACGGCTCCTTGGTAACCTTGCCTTTGACAGATTCTATACCACAAGATAAGCCTCTACCGCGGATGTCTCCAACGTGAGGATGGTATTGAAGCGATTGCCCTAATGATTGTGCAAGAACTGGGCCTAACCTCCCCATTCTCTCTACCAATGACTCTTGCTGAATGACTCGCTGAGATTGCAACGCAGCGGCGCATGCGACAGTATGTCCTTGATATGTCTGGCCATGAGCGAATACGCCAGTGTCCTTCGCTCAATACGCTAACAACCCTGTAACCAACGAGCATTCCTGCAACTGGGATGTAGCTACCACGAAGCCCTTTGCCAATCGTCTGCAGAGCAGGCACGAGCCCTTTCTCTATCCAGGCATGCATGGTACCACATCTGCCAATGCACACATGACCTCGTCTGAGCTCAACAGAGCTCCGTACTTGTCACAAACAGATCTCGTGGCCTGGGTATAGCCTTTCGGGGTTGGGAGACAGCCCATTGCTGCGTCCACAACAGGCTCCATCACGAATGCGCACCCAGTGTCTGGGTCAAGACATTGGAATTCATCATTCAGCTCTTTCTGGAGGCGAGCAGCGTACCTACCTCGGCCTCGCCACCATTCACACCTCGATAACATTGCAAGTGGGAACATATGAGGCGTTCGGACTCAACATCAGCTCATACAATGCTCTTCGAGCCATGGGCAGCTATGCCATGATAAGACCTCTTTCTGGCAATGAAACGGATTCTGCTGGGCTGTGGCAGATGAACTTCATGGCGGTATTGTCTCGCCATCTTGACAGCAGCTTCCATGGCTTCAGATCCCCCACGGACTATGAAAACTTTCGACATCTGTCCGCCTGTAGATTTAACTAGCAGCCTGCAAAGGTCTTCTACAACGTCAGAACTGAAGAAAGAGGAATGACAATAGGAGAACACGTCCATTTGGGCTGCGGCTGCTTTCTACACTTGGACATTACTGCGGTCGAGACACATAACAGGGCAGCTTCCACCAGTAGCAGCCAGAACTCTTTGGCCATCTTCCAAGTATGGGAACATGCCATCTGCTTTGACGAATTTCTTGAGATGGTCGTTTAGGGAGCGGTGGAGGATTTCGCTATCTCTTGACATGGTAGTGGAAGGTGGTTCATGCTCCTTATATTCTTGATCAGTCATGATGACCTCCTCGCCAGCTGCAGTGATTGAAACATTGCTGGATGGCTGGATGATGCTTTCATTCAGTATTTACAAGCAGCAGAAAAGTTGGGGTCTTAGACAGACCGGATAAAGAAAACCTCGTCAATCGAATCTATGTCAGGCTGCGGTCTATGCAACCTGTTGATAATTAAAGGCGGGTTAAATGACCTGGTAAGATATGTAACGACAGTTGTAGTGGAACTTGGCATGATCTATGCCAAGCCTTGGCCTGAGGCCGAGCAATGAAATCTTGGCAGGAGATTTCCCATCCATCTTCTCCACACAATAGAATATATCCAGACAGACCAACCTCAGCGAATGTCTGTGATATCCATGGCATCAAGATCCAGCCAGACTTCTTGACCTGATCATCTCAATCAAGTCCCACGATACACATCCCAGGTATGTCGCATGCTCGCGTCGAAGAGCTCTCGGACTCCGATCCTGAAATCGAAGACCTCTCCTCCATTTCCTTCCCTGCGTCCTCCTCTTCTATAATCGCACCCGCCGATATCCCACAACCAAGCACGTCCGGGCGACCGTTGCGTCCCTCCCAAAATGCCGCTCAAAACAACAACTCTAATTCCATGCCCTCCCTTCTCCGTCCCACAGGCCCAAACGCCAAATCCGCTACCAAAGAATCCATAAAATCATACTCCACCCTCTATCCCGTCTACTTCGATGCCAGCCGCACCCGTGCTCAAGGCCGGCGCGTCAGTTCCAAACTCAGTGTGCACAACCCACTTGCCCGCGACATCGCAGAAGCATGTCATTTCATCTCGACCCGAATGGCAGGCGGCCAAATACAGATAGCTTTTGAGCCCGACAAGCTGCACCCAAAGGATTGGGCGAACCCCGGCCGAGTCCGTGTCCTGATGCGCAACAAAGAGACCCGTAAACTTGTAAGCCCGGCGGTGAAGAATAAGTCTCATCTGTATATCTTGGTGGCGCAATATCTGCAAACACATCCCACGACGAAGGAGTCACCTCTCAAGCTTCAGATCCAAGGCGTGCCGGCCCCGGAGAAGCTGGAGCCACCAGCGGTGCCGAGAGGTTGGAAGATCAATGAGATTTTACCTTTGCACAGTCCGGCAATGAGTGGAGGTGGAGTGTCGGATAATTTCTTCAAGGACATGATGGCGGATATGCAAAAAGGTGGTGGGGGAGGCGTGCCCCAGTTGCCTCCGGGAATGGCCGGCATGTTGGGTGGTGCTGGAGGAGGGCCAGGTGGCAGTCGGCCAGCGAGTAGTGGGGAAGGAAGCAAGAAGAAGGACAAGAAGAAAGGGAAATGAGTGACACGAACTACTCAGCAGCACAATGCCTACCACCATTGATTCTGAAGATAATGGAAGAGCACACTGATCACGACGTACTGGGAGCATTACACACGTGATATACCTGTACGAACGCCATATACACAAGGTCTTTACATACATGACTAGATCCGCAGTCACATCGGCGCGATCGAAGAGGCCCACCTTCTCAGATATGGACACCTTCCAAGGCGCACTCTCTCGTTGACAACACCTATCCGATCATCCTCACCCTTCTCCTTGAATACAATTTAGCCAAAACTGCTGCAGATGATTAGCAAACCATATTTGCACGTCTATTCGAACCTTATTTCCGAACCGAGGACAACCTCAGCGGATTGCCCAAATTGGAGGTTAGATCACCGGGCTCCGTCTATCCACAATGAACTTCTACGAGGTCAACCTATGCTCTTGATTCAGGTGAAGAGGCTAAGCCCACCTTTTGCTGTCGCTGAACCTATGTTGGAAGAAACGGAAAATTAGTGAATATCGATTAAATTGGCATGAAGCAGCATTACTTAACTTGCAGGGTGCTGACTTCCGGCTATATCTACAGTAACAATAGCTTCTGGTCATCATCCACCAACGGCACACGCCACAATACAGACGGCTTGACTCTCCTGTTAACACCCCCTTGTTATATTTCTCCGTGGAGTACAAATCATTCGCAAACACTGAAAGGGTGTCAATGCATCCTAACCGTGGATCTCTAACCTACGTCGACACTATCCCATTTTCCAAGTTGAAGATGGTGATCGCATTCTACTTAGCGGTACCGGCATATACCATGTTGTCACTGCCTCTCTTTAGACCACCTCTGACATCTTCCTGTGGTAAGACAAGACACCGAGCCCGCAGCCCAAAAGTTCAGAGGATGCGCTGCGATCGCGTAGACGCTCTGTTGATACGCTAAAGAGATAGCATCCGCTCACGGCGTCGAAGCACAGGGTCTCAATGATCAGGCCACTCGTGAAGAGAAATACTACCGGCTAATGAAGATGGAACCCGGAACCCGGACCCTATTAAATCACGATAGAAACTACGGAAGCAACGGTAGCTTACGATGCTAGCGATCATGCAGCGCTGTACCGGACGTACCTCCCATCTCATCCCGGGTGGGAAGTTAAAACCAGCTTGGACTTACCGCAGTAGCATGGGTTGAAGCGTGCATGAGTGGCAGGATCTCTTTTTGGACCATAACTGCTCAATCTTCCTGGCTGCTTCACTTCAAGAATACTAGACACATTGAAGACGTAGGGAAGAAGCCACGGTATACTTGGTGAGGTCTAGGTGAGTACGGACGTCTGAAATCATAGTAAAGAACTTCAAGAGTGCCGCCTAAGGAATTCGTTCTATGATAGATATCTCCACTGGGCCACCCGACTGGCAAGGCATGTCGTTTGCTACATTTCTGACCACAGCTAGTATGGCGGAAGAGTTGTGCAGCCTCAAGCCATTGGATTCACAAGCGGACCAGCTTTCCCAGTCCCCTCTATCTCAGGCCAGTGGCGAGATCTCGGGTCTCGATCTCGAGTAGGTCCTTGATGATGCTTACCACGACTGGCAGATTTTCCTCCTTTGGTGCTCGGAGTCCCACGCCTTTCACGCGTCTCTTGTCCTTGGGGCTTGTCTCCTGCTTGAACTTGGGTCGAGCGCGCAGGCGCCATCTCCACATCCCCTGCAGATTGTACCCGCACCGCACCACCAGGCTTCGCTCTTTCTAGACGCACTAGCTGTGTCTGAGCAAGAGCGTCCAAGACTGTTTGGCCTGTAACAAGATCCCCACCACTGGCTTTAGTAGGTCGACCTTGGCCTTTCTTACTGCTAGGTGGACGAGGCTGGCTGGAAGTATTGGTATCATGAGATGGACGGGTTGGGCTGGCAGAATTGCCATCTCGAGATGGACGAGATGGCTCCAGAGAATTGTTAGCAGGAAATGGACGAGATGGACCGGGAGGGCTGTTATCACGAGACGCTCGAGCTTGGGCTGGAGATTCATTATCAGAAGAAGGACGAGATGGGCCGGGAGAGCTGCTATCACGAGACGGTCGAACTCGGTCGGGGAGGATGTTGTTTCCAGACCGTGTTTGGCTTGCGGCATCGTTCGTGCGTCGACCAGAGTCTGCGGCATGCCGGCGCGCATTTGCTTGTAGTGCTCTCACTCGCTGGGCAGCGTCCTGATGGTTGGCAACTTCAAGCCCACGTGCAATAGCGCGTACAGGTGACTGGAGTTCAGGGTGGCGTGTGAGCCCTTCTTCGGCATATTCCAGGTCAGCAGTGTGAGGGCGACCCTCAGCTATGCGAGCGAGCATTTGCGTATAAGAACGACATTTGCAGCAGAAAACGATTGCGCTGCCGACTATCACAACGCCGGACATGCCCCCAAACACTATGCCACTGATCTCGCTGGCCGTTGTGAGACCCGACATAATGAAGGTAATATGGGATATTCAACTGCAGGCTACTGTACTGTATCAGTATATCAGCTACACTCCTTTCTAAAGAACGCCATCTAACGTTGGGTTCACTTTGTTTACTCACCTTTGGAATGAGTTTGGGTCGGAACAGTGCTGGGTCCAGCCTAGCAAGGTTTCCTCATCAGATCTGGTCCCCGGTGAGAACTCTGGTTGATGTTTCTGACTTCCAACTTCCTCTTATCAATGTTCTTTGACCCGAGACCGTCCCCCATCACCAGGCTTCCCTGCTACAAGATCGAAAACTTGCGTTTCAGACGCGCAACAGCGACAGCTGCATGTTGCATAGCACATGGCAGACATGGAGCATTCCCAGCCGTATCAACAAGCGAGAAAAGCCTTGATCTGCAATCAATGCAGGCATCAAGAATGCTATCCATCATCCACTGTACGTAATCAGTACTCCCTGCACCATATCTCTTTCCACGTCTCGATCGCTTCCCGTCAAAACATGCAAGGCTGCCTGCGACATTGACACGTAGCCCCTTCTTAAATCTGCACCTCCAGTCGTTGACACCACGACAATTGCATCGTATCAAGACATTTCCCAGCGGAGATCTTCTTCCCGCAACGGGGAGCATTTGCTCCCTCGCAACCAACCCACTTGGACGGCACACTACTCGAGTTATGTTCGACTGACAGCGCGGCCCGAAGGTTAGTCGCCCGGCCAAAAAGACATGGGACAGCTATCGTTCCCAATCACAACTGCATGTTGGTGGTCCCCTAAGAAGTCAGATGAGTAACAATGGAAACAATGCAAACATGCCCCCGCGTAAGGGGTCCGCGACCCAGCATGGCTTCCTTGACCGACCTTGTTACCGTATCAGGAAAATCCTCACCAGTGTCGCAAAAAAACAAAAACCCCCCTAAAATAACTGGTCATGCCCGTGACGTCAGCCATGAGAAATTCAGTTTGATGAGTCGGGAAAGGTCTTGGTTTTTTATGTAATCGATCCCCACACGGACCGAGGGACCGAGACCGAGATCAGGGGCTAGGAATGCCATGCTGGATCAAACCTATTCTAGTTAGGCGTAACTACCTCGTAAAAACCACCTACCCTGACGGTGCCGCGAGCAAAGCATTCTACCACGTACAACGACACTATTTGCCGATTTAAAAAAAAGTATACATGCTACAATCCTCTTGCTCATATCTATACACAGATCAATATACAAAATCGAACCTAGATATATATCCCCACCCTCTGGAGAATCCACCACCGCTCTTGCTGCAGGCCGAGAGTTTCCCAGGGTAGTAAGTGTGTCAGTGAAGGGGGACTGACAGATTTACGTAGTTAATGAAGATTTTATGCAAAACCCTTCACTCGAAAATGAAGTGGTATGTTGCCGTGACCATCTCAGTGGTACTGGTACCGGATTCCACTGTTCCAAAAAAAAAGCATCTCTGGCGTGAGACCCGGACCCGGACCTGGACCTGGGACCTGCTAGTTCTAGGAAGATGGCTGTACAGGCGTGACAAGGGATAGATAGAATGAATACAGGCATGTAAATTTGGTATACCGAGAGAGCTAAGCTCCTCTGGTGAATCGCTATCAACTTCTCGTTCTCTGACTCCGCCTTCAGCAGCTCGGACACGACAAAGAAAATTTCTACCGAGCTAAACCAATCGCTCTGGCTGACCAACCAGGGGACCCGTCGTCAATGGCAATCCAACCGCATCCCCATCATCCCAAAAGCCAAAGCTCCTCGAACTGTACAACAACGACACAGAACAAAATCCCCAAACTCTACGCGCGCGCTCCAACCCGCAAATCCGCCTCGGCAAGACCGCGCCGGTTCCCCGTTTCCTCAAAGAACCTCCACATGGCTCCAGACAGCCATGCCCCGGTAGCAGCGGCGGTGTTCTTCACCGTGACGATCACGTTTTGGATTGGTGAATTCAAAGTAGGGGCAGGGTTCGCGGGAGGGGCACCGAATAGTCCGGGCAGGCTTCTTCGCTGCACGTCTTCGGCTGTGGAGGTTGGGGTGGTGCCAGTAAGGGCCTGCTCCTTGGGTGCCGTGGCGTTGGAGGAGGATGGGTTCTCGGAGGCATGGACCAGTATGGAGCTGGGGCTGTGTGGTGCCAGCTTCTTGACGGGGATAACGTTTGTCTGAGCAGATTCATGGTCCGTAGATGTCAGTGAGTCGGGATATGAAGGGCCTTCCTCGGCTTCAGGTATCAAATTTGAGTACGAGGGTCTGGTGATGGCTATCGGTAACTGGGTAGATAGGGTTGTTCCAAGCACTGGCGCCATGCTGTATCCATTTAATGATGTCAAATGCAGTTTGCTGAAACGAGAAGGATCTGTGGACATCGTCACGGTCAATGTCGTTGTGCTTGGTGGCATAAACGTGAGGTTGGAGCTCGAAGCTGGTGCCAATGTGCCGCTAAAGGGATGAGGTGAGAGGATCATCCTTGATGACGAAAGACTAGTATATGTTATGCCGGTGGTTGGCGACGATCGGTCGTGAGTATTGAGCACGCTGGTATCAAATGTGGCCGATTGGTAAAGCGCAGTTATATTAAACACGGTTCTGTTTGTACATGGACTTACAGTCACAGTCACAGTCACAGTCTTGTGAATGACAGGAAGACCTGTGACCTGTTCAAAGCGCGACTCAACGGCAGGTTGAGTGACTGTAGAAGCCGGTGAAGTATCGACATCTAGCTCCAGTACGGCAGCAGGGCTCGTCTTCGAGTCTCGAGAGGAGGGATAAGTTTCGGGAGTCGGAGGTGTCGAGCTTGCTGTTTCCAGTGAGGACGAATAAAGAGACATCGAACTGAGTATGTAGGATGTATCCGGTTGCGGCTGCAACATCGACCTACTTCCTAGCGCTGCGGAGCTGGTTACTTCCAAGCTAAAAGTGTAGCTGACCGCTGTAGTTGGAGTGGTCTTTTCAGATGAATCTGCCAACCGCCTAAGCCCTTGTATAGTCGTGGATCCCTTTGACAGAACACCGTCTGATTCCATCCTTGCAGTCAAAGCTGGTGGCATCGCAGCCACGGTGAAGTCGTCAGTTGCAGCTGCTCTTGCTATGCTCACAATATCCGCAGTACACAGCAGTGCAAGAATAGTCCACATGAGCGTCAACCAGGTCGAGATTGAGTAGACTCCATTTAGAGCACCTTTGGTTGACTTTGATTGTCGAAGAGCCCTGCTGCTACTGATTTCTTTGCACATCCCGTCTGGAACGATCACTGCACAGGTCCTTTCAAGAGACCAAGACCCATTTACAATGATGTATCCGTCAAAATGCCCAGCAGAGAGTGGGTTTTTCCGTAGACAATTCAAATGGCTTTTCCATTGGTGCATCGGACATGCTTGCGGATTAGCAGGGTATTTCTGACGGTGACGGCGAGTACAGGTGGCAGGAGCTAGAGCTGGACTCATGTTGCAGACCGAAGAGCACGTAGGATGATTCGTGACAGAAAGATTCGAGACAAAGTATGGGCATCTGACGAGTATCAAAGACAAAAATGTCTATTGAATAGTTGTGAAAGAAGTATCGCAGAAAAAGGACTTGGTTGTAAGGAGTGAAGATGAGTTTGTGATCTGAATCAAAGATGGATGCAAGTTCTCATTAGCCTTGACATGACCTATTATAGATGCACGCTTGATGATCGAGGGCGGAGCAGATTCTGGTGTAGCAAAACCAGGGAAGCAGCATATCGAGAACGTAAATTATTGATTGTGGCGTAAGACCTTCAATTCACAACTGGAGTTCTCGTGGACAGTGACGGTGATGTAAGAACCAGAGAGCTCCGTCTACGTAGGACGTAAACCAGAACGAGTGGTATAGCCAAGACCACAGTTTCAATTGAGCGCATTACCTCGCCACAAAGTCGCCTCCGTACCACATCTTCGTGCGGATATCGCTGAATGAGCAAAAGGTGGTGATCTGTGTCATTGTCTTCCATTCGGAGTCTGGGCTGAATTCGTCGTTGAGAAAGCTTGCGGGCCCAGGGACGCAAGCTGAATAGATTAGATTCAGGGCATTGACAGATTGAGGTCGGCTGAGCAATCTCCTCGTTCGTCTCACTCTTCTCGACAACTTACGCACGTGTATCGATGACAGAGGTACGTGGTATGCAATTGTTTTGAATGGGCTCTCTTCCCAGTTGCTGTCATGATAGAAGGATCGTGCTAGAAAGGCCGATCCCAATGCACGCAACAAGCAGAACGGCAGGATAGCCTTGTATGCTCTGGGATACGCTTGCACCGCCGGACGCTACACCGCTACCCCCTGACCCTGTCCCACCACCGGACCAGTAATCATAAGGGTTTGCAGCTGGACCCCAACTATAACGATAGCCTGTCCATACCGCACAGTCAACGGAGAAGCCCTGGTCGTTCCAACACCTCTGTCTCAGCTCAAGATGGTTGGAGGATGGAGGCGTTGTGACACGAGAGAGAGCTGGCAGTGAAGTGAGAGGAACTGAGGTGGGCGAAGGCGATGTCACAGATATATTAGGTACCTCAGACACAACTGCTGATTTCTGGATGGTCGAAACTTCGCTCATTGGTTGGTGTATGGCGGTCACCGGACTGGTAGTGAAGGCAGCGGCTTCCGTAGAATGTGCACCAAAAAGCAACAGACCAAGGACCAAAATATAGAAGAACATTGTGCTCGGTGACGGAAAGCCTGTCGCGACCCTACAGACTTTGTTCCGCCCGTATTTGTGCACAGCTCACTGGGTCTATATTCAATGACAAGTGTTCCTGCGAGAAGAGAAGACAAAAGATCCTCCTCTCGGGGTTGATGTCGTTTATGTGCCAACGAGGCATGAAGAAAGCTACCTGAGGGGTGATTTGGGTACCATAGCATTAACTAGTTAACTAGAGAATTAGCAAACCACCTACTCCATAAGCGAGCGTAGTATTGTCAATTGACCAATGGAAGCGTCTAAGCATGCCACAGTGCTATTGGCTGCACTGCCGAGATGCTGCCTAAGGTGAAGACTTCGTTGCCTCATTCTGATCTTAGTGCTGAGGCATGGCTGCTGGCAGCAGAAATCACTAGTACGCGCTGTTCGTACCATGTTTCCCAACTCTATTCGGTGGTATCAAGAGTCGGTGAAGAGGCCCAGAGCTACTCAGCATAAATTGTGTGTGACCGGGAAGATTTGGTTCCTGAAAATTTCGTTCCGTTCCGTTCCGTTCGGCTTGGCAGGAGGGGGCGCCATTATATGCTGGATGGCGCCCTTATACATGCAGGTGAAACTTTTGTTGCTGAGACAGGATTATGAACACTAAGGGAGCCTTGGAAGGGTCATCCAAGGCTGTCGCCAAGGATACTGAGTGATCGTTCGTACATTCTGGAAATGCTCATATTGAGAGAGTTTCTACCCTGTACATTGCTATCAGCTGAAGTGGGCTCATCGTATTCCGACTCCGTAAAACCCTCAGAAGCGTCTTGGGTGTCAGCAGATGCACGATCTTTGGTAGAGGCTTCAACAGCAATAACTCGAGTGCTCTCGATAACAGATCGGATCCTGACTCTGTCTGTGACAGAGACAAGTTGGTTGCTCGCATCACTAGCAAAAGGCAACATGGAATCCTTTCGTTGACTGAGGAGAATTGCGAATGCTTGGTCCATCTTGTCCACCAAATGCATCGTAGGACCTTCATTGAACGGGAAAGCAGGCAGAAACTCGGCGATGAGTCCAGCCAGCGACAACAGATAGGGAATCTGCAAAGTGGCTGCAGACTAGTCAGACGGCTCCAGCGAGCTCAGAAGATGTCAAAGGCATTCAGATTCTTCGACCGTATGGATATGCGTGAAGAGGTCAGAGATCAGGGTTGTTTGCTTACGAGTGCCGCTCACCCAGATTGCATCTAGGACATGTTCCAGATCCTCAACGACGTTCTCGAAATCATCGTAGCCGCGGGCCTCCTCGTCTATCTCATCTCTGCCGCTGCTGAATTTCTTAGCATAGCGACGATTGATGTGCAGAATCTTTGAATCGACATAATTGATGAATGCAATCTCCTTTTGGGATCCCGGTTTCAATGGGTAATGCCGTGGTGTTGGGAGTGAAGAAGCAGATGTTGTTGCAGCTGTTAGCGAGGATGAGGGAGCGGGAGAAGGCAGGGACTGTCCTTCGTTTTGGACGAATTCCATACTGTACGTCGTTCAAGCGGTGACTTTGGCGACCCAAGCAGCTTGTGAACTGGGGCTGAAAATGGCATCAATGGTCGACCTCGTGCACGCGCATCGCAGTAAGTAAGATGGAAGTCGATGTGTAAAACCGCTTCCGGCCATCCGTAAGCTTCAGAGCTCAAGTCTTGGCAGCCAACTTCAAGTCAACCTTTTACTACGTAGTACTGCTGGTATTGTGTACGTGACACAGCCGTGTCGAAGATATGGAGTGCAAAACCGAATAGGTAGTACTAAGCACTTCGCATTACTGAACAATGAAGATGACAGCTGGGACACTGCTAAAGCACCTGGTACTGGCCAGGTAGGCAGAACTGTTTCCCGCATCAGAGGGAGGTGCATTGCATAGCGTCAAACAAAGACACTCACCTACTCGTCACCCTCCTAAGAATCCCTGATACAAAGACTTCTATTGTCTTACTATGTAAATTTAAGTATTAACATAGTACGTAGTCGTTTTACCTCCGGAAGACATGACAGTTATTGATCCGAGAGTTGGAATCTTCCGGGGAAATGAGATGCAAATTCCTTAACTACCGCATTTAGCTAAGTTTCGTCGCTCACCCGAAATTCTAAATCGGACCATGCAAAGATTCTGCTGCGAGACAATCTTTCGAAATTTCTTTTGAAGCAAGCTCTGACGTGTGGCAAGCCACTTAAAGCTCTACTTTCAGCGGTCGACACGACAGTGCATATATTGCCTGCGTTGATAACATTTTTATTGATCAAGACTGGTTACCCACAAGTCTTTACGCAAGGAGACTCAGCCGAGTCATCCATGGCTGGTCCTTGGAAGCTCTTTCAACCACGAAGCTGCAGCATCATATGTCATGCTATGAGCGGTGGTCCCCACAAGGCCTCTGAAGAAAATGTACAGCTCCAAGATCGTCTTGCTTTCCTTCGTACATATGAGCTCTCAAAGTTCCCTGGATTTTCTATTGTTTCTATCGTTTCCGTTGCCTACATTCGCTTTCGCTCCTGAGCAGAATCCTCGTGCTCTCGTGTCCCAGAATCTCAGTGCATACCAAGTTCTTCCTTTGTCTCCTTTGCAAGATGCTCTCCCACGCTCTACTCCCCATTCTCCTTTTCGGGCTCAGTGCCACTGCTCTCCTGGTAACTAAAGCATCCCTCGACCAAAGGGCACCCAGGACTACACTTCCTCACCCTTCCCGGACACCATCCTGACACCCAAATATGACCCCAGCAGATACGGAGGCCAAAGCTCAGGCTCTACCCCCGACTCTTCCTCTTCGGAAACTAATGATGGCAACACTAACGTCGCATCTTCCTTCTCCCCCTCTATCCAAGAATCCCCTTCGCCAACGACAACACCCTGCCTCTGGGACGCCTTCCAAGTCCGAAAATGACAAGATAATACCAACGTCGCCTCCTCCTTCTCACCCGCAATTCAAGAATCCGACTTCCTCAACGGCAACATCATCACCATCCGAGAAGCAGAAGCAGACAGCGAAGTGCCCGAGAAGCGACAAGATAACACCAATGTCGCCTCCTCCTTCTCACCATCCATTCAGGACTCACCCTTCCTAAACAACACCAATATCAATATAGCAGGAAAGGGCGGTACCGAGAACGCCAACTGCCAGAGCGGCGACGGCGCTGATAGCGGTGGAAACACGAATGTAGCCAGCTCGTTTAGTCCGAGCATCCAGGACTCGCCGTTTTTGAACTGTAACAGTATCAATGTGCTTTCGGGGAAGAAGTGAATGTGATGTATGCTAGAGCCTACATGTTCTCCTTGATCTGATTCACCACCGGCCTCTTTGTCTTCTCACCGCAAGTCGCTCCTCTTATCCTCCTATCCCGTACCTCGCTGACGTTACTCCTCCAGAGGATCATCGGCAGCAACCTCCTCGCCACCGACTTGGCCAAGGGATAGTAATCGTCTATAGCTGGTCCCATACAATCAGAAACTAAGTTTCTGGCGATTTTATGGGTTGGCTCCTGGGCTGCGTGAAACTTGGCTTGCCTGTACATAAAGATATCAAATCCATCATCAGTCTATCACAGCATGAACTGCTCGTCTCGTCTCGTCATGCAGTCATGAAATGCTGTATGACATCTTGTTCAACCCTCCAGCTCCCCCTCCTTCTCAACCCTAGAATCAGTCTGCAATCAAGCTCGTGTGATGGTGGTATAATCTCTCAGTCTGGTGTGTAATACATGCAAGTGAATACGGTTGTTGATCGAAGAGCCTTCAGAAGAAGATATATCGTTCCCTTGCGATCTAGCACCTCGTAGAACATCACCTGCAATGGGCGATGGGGGTAGGGATGTTGTAATGAAAATAGTATTCTCGAACCCTCATACCTCATGCCCACTCTCGGCATTGCTAGTAAATATATACACAACGATCGAACTGGCGAAGATGAGCTGCAGTCTCGACTCGTCACAATATCAATTATAGCCCACTCTGCCACTTGCCTTGCCTTCACAAGTACTTCTGCTCTTGTCTATGCCATGCCAGTCATCGAGCCTCGCTTTTCAAGTCCCTTCTCTGAATCTAGTTCCCAATGCCCTTCTTTCCATCCCCATCTGAATCCTTCATCGGGTTCAGCTTATCCATCAAGCTCGGCTTCCCACTCTCCCCGCCCTCCAACCCCGTTTGAGCAGAGGAGCTGGTATTCATCGATCCCCTATGTCCACTCGTCCCAATCACCCCCATCCCCGGCCCACTCCCTGGAGCAGCCTTTGGCGGAGGATGTACCTGCCCATCTTCGGGCGTCAACCCAAATAATTCAGAATGAGACCCTGGCGCTGCGGTGCCCTTCATGTGGCTGTGGTATTCTGTTCCGGTGCCGTCCTGTCCAGAACTAGATGATGGATCTGGGTTCTTTGGTCCGTCGGTGGCGCCGGGTCTGGTGCCCTCGATGCCGTCGGCGGAGGTCGGGACAGTGTCGTGGGCGGTAATGTCTTTGGTGGTGCCGGTATGGGCGTCTGGGTGGGCTTGCTGGCGCGGGTCGGTGGAGGAGGTGGGAGGCTTGTCGATGGTGCCGGGGGCGGTGACGTGATCCATGTTGTTCAAGAGAACAAGGATGGGCAGAGTCGGCTAGTGGTGTTGACAGCTGAGAGTGAAATGCGTGCGTAGTCTTCTGGAGCTCAAGGTGAAGGAGAAAGGTTGTTTGATGAGTGAAGTTAGTGGTAAAAGGATCTTGTAAGACGGCTTTGGCAGAGGGGCTCAAGCAGCCAGCTCCAAGTCGCATCAACGTCATACCACATGGTGTACACAGCATGTGAGCCGTGCGGGGTAGCGATATCGTTGCTTTGGAGGTCTGACTTTGCACCACTCGTAATGTCTCGCTCAATTGGCCGAGTAGCATCAAGATAAGCCCTGTGGACCTCCCGAGGAAATCATGTGTAACATTGGTGCGGTATGAGTCAATTGTTCTCGTCGTCATACTCCTCTGTGCCCTGATGGTCAGGAGTGTGACACCAAAGCAGGGTTAACAATGATTATCAGGGGCAAGGGCCATACTGCCCGACATACAGAACTGTGTGACCTGGATGTAGTTCAATCAGTATCCTATGTACAGGCGCAGGGCTAGATTCCTAGTAAATCAGCACGGTAAGGTTTCGGCATTTTGCGAGATCTGAATGGTAGCAAGATAGTCATCATCACCATCATCATCGCAACGCTGGTCATGGTCTCCTCAAGAAAAGTTTCACTGGTAGCGTAAGAGGTTTCCAGGCAGCACATCCCCCCTTTGGACTCCGGCATATATGATTTGCCAGGTAAGGATGGTATTTCCTGGGAAGAGGAACGGCGAGAAGGTGCACAAGTAGAGGTCTTACCGGAAATGAGCGCTGAAACACTAAACAGAAAAGGGGAAGAAGTAGTAAAAGGAGTCAGAAAAGCAGAGGTACGCCATCACAGGGAATGCCTACCAAGCAGCAGACACACAGCCAAGAGCAAAGGATATGGGTTTGTAAGCCACCAGACTCAATCCATTTTCACGCAATTTCGAGGAACTTGGAGACTTTCGGAGCTCCTGGCTTGTGTGATCTGTAGGATGCGCTTAATCACCTTGTCTATAAGGCACTCCACAACAATCTTCTCCCAATCATGCCTTTACCGATTGCTCTTAGCCACACGCTCTAGCTCGTCCTTCTTCTTGATGGCATATGAATTCGAGCTGCCCTTCGCCGCATTGATCAACTCTTCTGCAAGACACTCCGCAATACTCTTGACGTTCCTGAAAGCTGCCTCTCTGGCTCCGATTGTAAGAAGGGCGATCGCTTGGTTGACCCGTCGCAGAGGTGATACATCGACAGCTTGTCGGCGCACAGTACCAGCCGAACCAATACGTGTGCTATCTTCTCGGGGCCCGCAGTTGACTATGGCGTCGACGGCAATTTGGATAGGGTTTTGGTCCGTCATGATGTGGATCTACAAGCATGCCAGTTAGAAGATCGCCACGTGGAGTGAATATTGGAACATTCGCACAATTTCGAAGGCATGAGCGACGATACGGATAGCCATCAATTTCTTGCCATTGTTGCGACCGTTCATCATGAGAGAGTTGGTAAGGCGTTCAATGATGGGGCATTGTGCTTTTCGGAATCGCTTCGCCGCATATCGACCAGCTGAGTGTGAGATGTAGACTGGGGCTCGGATTTGGATGTAATCACTGTGAAGCTAGAGTCATTGTGCTGGCCGTGCTCAGTGGATAGTAATGGCATACGTTAATGAAATGTCCCTGATTTCAACATCTTCATAACTCCATTTATTGAACAACTTGACACTCCCAATCTCTGCAGTGACTTCTTTGGGAAGGACATCGAGGTTACCCACGGTCGGGTTTTGAACCTCGACTTCATCGTTGTCAGACATGATGGGCAAGAGTAGGAAGTTCGTTGAGATCTAACGTCGGGTTCGTTGCTGTGCTGTATCCATGAAGTACGGTAGGGTTCACGATAAATTCAAGGTTAGTGGGTCTGAGCCCTAATGCCGCTTCTGGCTGACCATTGTGCCAAGACCCATCCGCCTTTTCACTTTTGACGAGACTGAGAAGGGAACAGTGTTCTAACAAGGCCTTGCTCCTGCTTACTTGCTACTTACGCTCTCTACAGATCCGTGGAGACAGTGTCGGCTTTCTCCTGAGCTGCCTGCGATGTTTCCCAGGTTTACTCTTCCAGAAGCAGTTTCAATTGAGAACCATACTGCAACGAAGCCCCCATTTATGCATAGCAATCTGCTGTCTCACCGACTCTTCAAGAGCGAGCAGTGGAGGTTGCGACCGTGCCTTTAGCCTTTAGCCTTCCTGTAATCGTTGTGAGAGCAATCCATACTCAAGTGCACAGTCTAAATCGAGTTGATGAACGGTAGGGAAAATGACGCTAAGTTTAAGCCGCGTTTCACTTGCGGCGCGGGTGGACATCAGCGTCATGTCTCAGGTTGCGGCAACATCCGTTATCGCGCTCAAACAGGAAAGCCCCTCGTGAGCCGACAGCGCATCAGTGCATTTTCTCGGTGTGAAGGTCGGACGGCACCACTGGTAGCCTCTACTTATATTATTTGCGTGCACGCTTCCTCCCCGCTACACGGACAGATCCCAATCACACCTACGCAGGGGTTTGTGAAAGAGCTTGCACTGCCGATATCCAATCTCGATATTGCCCTCATGTGGCATTGGCTCCGCGCCGACTCCTCTCCCTTCGCACGCTGTGCGGATTTGGTAATGAAGCCTCGTCCGTGCCAGATATCGAGCTAGCCACCTGCACAATTACTACTGTTGCACCATCCAATGTCGACCTCTTCATCTCAATCCCGTGGCATCAAGGGCCGAATCAGCAGCCTTCAAAATGAGAGGAAACCGTCATTGGAATATTCTCGGCCACGGCAGAAGCACGTCAAGCTCGCCGACGCCTATACATTTGCTCTCAGGGTTGCATATCTATCTTACCTCCTGCAGCCACGGGCACGGAGGACAAGACAGGTCGCTGTTCCAAAGCCACAGGTTCACCGATCCTCCACCTCCTTCAACGATCTTATGAAAGACTTCAGCCTAGTACGCGATTCAAAAAGCACGAGATTCCCGAATGGCTTCGTGCCGATCCTTGAAAAACGCCTCACGGGAGTCTTGATGGGGAAGGAGAGAAGGAAAGAATACGAGGATGCATTGGTCAAGAGAACCTTCGCAGCGTTTCTAAATGCCTTTACAGATCCGGCTTTCAAGAAGAGGATGGAGAAAGATCGGAGAGTGGAAGATCTTGTGCTTATATTCTTTTCAAACGCTACAAAGGAATTACAGAAGGGAAAGGCTCCAGGTGACGATAGTGTTAAAATGATGGTTGACCGTCATGTGGCTCTGTTTGTTCGGCTGATCGGTCTCGTCATGAAGGACCAAGATTGGACACGGGACCGACCAGAGTTGACGGCTAGACTTTCCACACTCGAAAGCAAACTTCTAGCTCACGATCAAGACCTGACACAGGACCAAGCAAACGGGGCTTTAAGCACTGTAGAAGAGGTGGTGCCGTTGAGCTATGAGGTCAGAGACATGCCACTGGTTCGAGTTGTGGCCAGGATATTTGGCTTCCCAGAATCGATGGTGCAATCCGATATCACGAAGAACAAACCATTCTGGACGGAAAGCGCTGCATTACAGGATTTGAAGACATACCAAACACATCTCAACCTTGGTACAGGGCGAACTCTCAATCGCGGCGACTTCGATACGGACCAGGCATATGAGCTGTGGAAGAAGTCTGAGAGCCCGGATATCTCTCAATTAGTGCTAGCAATAGTACAGTCAAATCCAGAGTTGGCCAAAAGTGCCCCGGGTGGCGGCTTACCGCGATTTAACGCACAACCTAATGGGATGCCGTCTTCTGATTCGAGCTACTCGGAAGCTTCGAGAAGGCTATCCCTGAAGTTGGAAGATTCTTCGTCGTATGTTATTGATCAGTCAATCGACATGAGCAGCCTCAATATTGGTACTGAGGGCACAGATTGGCCTGATGACGTGGAAAACATTTACACCTTTACTCCATCTGATCCGAGAGCCGTCTATCGGTTCATACTCGCGCAAGCCCTGTCATTTGATGTGAAAGACACCTCCCTCGAAGCATCTGAGGCGACTTCTACCACCCCTGCCATTAAGCTATTATCGAAACAGTCTACAGAGTTGTTGAATGAGATAGCTCTTCGATGGCGCATACCTCATTCTAGTCGCTTGGTGATGTTCTTGGACGTTGTGCGGCAAAGGTACATCGAACAACAAATCGACCTTGATACTCTGGATACCGCTTTCATCTTTGTCAAAGAACCACCTACCGAAAACAAACGAAGCTCTGTGGTAATGACCTCTGTGCTTTATGAGCGGGAGAAGTGGACAGTTACGGATTCGGTCCTCATGCAGCAACTGCTTCACGCACTAGAGGAGAATCTCCTGAGAGAGCTTTATGAAGCGATTATGATGAGCTACGATGCGAAGATATCCCCAGTTCTTGGTAAAATCTTGTATGTCCTGGATACTCACATTCGTGCAGATCCTAGTTTCGTGCGAGTTCCTGACCAAGAGGCGCAATTCCGAACCACCGTTGCGGATGGTCTTGTTAACAAAGCGAGCGAGGTCTATGGATCTTATGTTGAAAAAGAAATCCCCCAGGAGCAAGAAGCTTGGGAGTTCTATCACGTGATCCAGCTAGGAAAGAGCGTAATAAAACTGGCGGAAAAAATACAAAAACGATTCAAGAAGAACCCTGAAATTTGTGGTGTCGAACCTCTTGCGATCCTGCTTGAGTGTCTGCTGCCTTCCTATGCTGAGGACGCTCGGGACATCATAGGCAGGATTCTGGAGGGTGCTGCTGAGAAGGAGCAGGAAATACCCATTCAAGACGGGTTTGACCTTTACAAGGAATTGAGCGAGGTCCGTCGGATTCACTCCAATGCGCTACCAGACGTACCTTTTCCGTTCCATGTCGAAAGTCTACTAGCAGATTTTGTTTGGCGATGGATCCAAATGAGCAGCGAGCAAATAAATGGTTGGGTTGAGAATGCCGTCAAGCAAGATCGATTCACTGTGCGCACGGAGGGGGCTAAGGCAATACCTACTGAGGATGAGCGACATAGTATTTCCGTGATTGATATCTTCAGATCCTTCAATCAGATCCTTGATCAAATATTTCAGCTGAACTGGGACGATGATCTTGGGTATGCCAAGTTTATGACTGCTCTCTCGAAAGCAATCGGTGATGGTTTGGCGCGGTACTGCGACCTCCTTGACCAGATGTTCAGCCGAGAGATGGATAGACTCACTCCAGAACAAGAAGCTGCTGCGGGCCAGACACGGCAAGAGAAATGGATGCAACTTGCCAAAGATACTTGGAACAACAAGGAAAGGGTCGAACCTTTTCAGTTTTACGCCACGTCTTTTGTGAAATTGAATGATATCGCTTTTGCCATCCGCCAATGGGACAAGCTTGAACGCGAGATCAATGTTGACGCTTGCATGGAGGTGATTCAACGACATAACCCGCCCGCTACGCAGAAACAGCGGAAGACCACCAACTTTGTCTTCACAATCAAAATCGTCGAGGCTGAAGATCTAAAGGCCTGCGACATTAATGGTCTGAGTGATCCGTACGTCGTGCTAACGGATGAGTACCAGAAGCGGCTGTCCAAGACCCGCGTTATCATGCACAGTCTCAACCCTCGGTGGGATGACACAGTTGACATCGTCACAAGGAGCCCACTGAATATTATCGCTACTATTTGGGATTGGGATAATTTCGGCGACCACGACTACGTCGGACGTACGTCTATCAAGCTTGATCCAGCACACTTCAGCGACTTCATGCCGCGAGAATATTGGTTGGATCTTGACACTCAAGGTAGGCTATTATTGCGTGTTAGTATGGAAGGCGAGCGAGATGACATTCAATTCTATTTTGGCCGAACATTTCGCACTTTGAAACGGACGGAACGAGACATGACGAGGAAAATTACCGACAAACTTTCTGCCTACATCAATCATTGTCTGTCACGTCGAGCTCTTCGCTCTCTACTCAGCCGTGGGATCTCGATATCGTCCGTCTCCTCATACTTCAAAGGCAATCGACAATCGACCGCTCTCGCATCTTCAGGCCCAACAGAGGCGGACATATCTAACGCCGTCAAGCCTCTATTTACCTATTTTGACGACAACTTCGCGATCATGAATCTGACCCTTACCTCTGAGGCCATGATCATGGTAATGACTCGTCTTTGGAAAGAAGTGCTAGTCACCATTGAATCTATCCTCGTGCCTCCTCTCTCGGACAAGCCATCTCAACAACGACCCCTGACACAACAAGAATTGGACGTCGTTTTCAAATGGCTACAGCTTCTGTTCGACTTCTTCCATGCTGTCGACGAAGAGACTGGCGAAGCCAACGGAGTGCCCACCAATGTTCTCAAGTCTCCCAAATACCATGAAATCCAGACTCTCAACTTTTTCTACTTCGATACTACCGAGAACCTTATCCGCACCTCCGAACGCATGGCCTCCGCCACTGCCGCCCGCCAAGCAGCAAATCGCAATCGTCTTTCTGCCCCGCCATCGCTAGGCATGAGTTTTGGCAGTGGGCCTGCTGGATTGATGGGCATGCCCAGCACTCGTCGGGCCAAGAGTATCATGTTGAGTCGAAATCTTGGCACGATGAGGAAGGCTAAGGAGGAGAAATGGAAAGAGGCGCAGGCTGATCCAAATGATGACATGATACTCAGGATTCTCCGGATGAGACCAGAGGCCGCAAACTATCTGAGGGATCGAAGTAGGCAGAAGGAGAGACTGGCGGCGGCAGCGGCAGCGGATCTGATCGTTCGGCAGAGCCTTTTGGCAGGCAGCGGCGGGCGAATGGCTGGGACTCTAGGCAGACGCTAGATCCAGGGGAGCAGATATCCGCAGGGGTTGTTGTTACGGGCGGGAGCGGTTTTGGGCGCAGCTGTGATGGACTGGAATGGTTCGCATGGGATACGATATCCTAATGGCTTTACAATCTCGGCGTGACTTGTACTGATACCATCCTATATCATCCTTGTCCTTAGCGTAATGCATACTTTCATCTGCGCAACAGTCGTCAGCATTTGGTCAGTTATCCCTACGGCTATCCCTACGGCTATCTCTATGGCTAGCATACGATATGGATGCTTTGCAATGAACAGGCCTTAACCCATTTTGACAACCATGTACTGTACTAGTAGGAGTACTTACGGCAGCTTCGACTTACTTAGCAGGAGCAGGCCCGTTGAAACTATGCCTAAATTACCATCAATGTGTGCTTTGATATGATCTAGTTTACATACATAGTAAAATTATGCAGCTTAAAATCTGGAATCCAAATAAATTATGTTATTTCGGACGTCATTCAGGAAAATGACGCTCAAATTATGGCTAACTTATGGTCATTTGAGCCTCCTGACGATGATTTTCAGAGCCCTTCTCCCGGTAAGGAGGTAAGCCGCGTGCAAACAGCCAAGGAGATGTGCCCACACGGCCCACACAGCCCACAGCCCACAGCCCACAGCCCACAGCCCACAGCCCAGAACTTCCACCGGTGATGTCTACAATTTCTTCGGCGATCATTGGTGCGTGCAAACCAGGCATCAGGTTGCACGGAGTCGAGATCATTCATTCTCGGAGGCGGAGATAATGGACGGGTAAGCCACACCTCCCTTCGTCATCGTGCAGCTTCGCACCAGACACCGTAGACCGTCAAAGGCGAATGGTTGGTGGGTGGGGAACAAAGACACTAACTAGTTGGGGCTGCAAAGCCATGGTGCACACTATCCGTCGAACAGTGCCTGCTGCCTTGATGAACTGGGGACTAACATGTCTCAAAGGCCTTCTCACAAGCGATCTAAAAGCGCGCTTGCTCTCTCATTGCTCCGAGGTGAGCGCGCTGCAAAGGGGGACAGTGGTTCTGAGAGCGGGTCACCTATAACACGCACCTCCTCGAACAGCCTCCTTGTTCCTACCGCCAATTCAGGCTCCAGCAACCCGACAAGCGCAGTCGATGGCGGAACCCTTTCGCCCATTTCTGAACCAACCGAGTCTACCGCATCGCTGGAGACTGCAGAGAAAGTGGCTCCGTCAGGGATGCAGGATCACAAAACGTCGATAGAAGATTCGGTCAGAACTTTCCGGGTCTTTGGGATACTTCGCAATGGAGATACAGCAGCCATTTCCAAAGCCCTCAAGGAGGCCTCCAGCAACAAGATTCCTGGTACAACCATTCTGCATCTTGCCATTCAATGCGCCGAACCTCATGTGGTCGATTATGTTTTATCGAATGGTGGCGCAAGCGACGTAAATTCTCGCGACAAGGAGGGCAACACTCCTCTGCATCTCGCGGCGCAGTTAGGTCGGGTGCCAATTGTCAAGCAGCTTCTTCAGCAGGCCAATGTAGATGAGTCCGTGGTCAATCACCAGGGCCGAATGCCAATCGATGTTGCAAGAACGCCGGAGATTTTCCAAGACTTGCAGCTTGCGCGGTCGCTGTACGTTGATAGTGTTGTACGACAGGTGCACGACTTCATCAGCCACAATGATCACCGGAAATTAGAGAATCTGTTAGTCGACCCAAGGGTTGAGAACGTTCTTGACGTCAACGCCTTAGAGCTGGTGACTGATCCCGAGACCATGGCAAGTGGAGGCACATTGCTACATGAGGCTGCTAGAAAGAAAGACATCTCGCTCATCCAGGTATTACTTATGCATGGCGCGGATCCCTTTCGACGTGATCGAAAGGGGAAATTGCCACAAGATGTCACCAAGGACGACCGTACCCGGGCAATCCTGAAGAAGTCACCCGCAGCAGCTGTAGCACAGAGAGGGATTCAAGAAAAGGCTATCCTCGGAGGCATTCCCGGCCAGAAATCACACGCAGGAACTCCTGTCGAATCCGGCAAAGACAGTCGAGAGATGAAGGGCTACCTGAAGAAATGGACCAACTATACGGGGGGCTACAAATTGAGATGGTTTGTACTCGAAGATGGCGTACTTAGCTATTACAAGCATCAAGGTATGTTCCCTGCCTTTCTGGTATGGCTGGACTCGCTTCTAATCTGACGATCAGATGATGCCGGGTCCGCGTGCCGGGGTGCTATCAACATGCGCATAGCCAAGCTACACATGGACCCACAAGACAAAACACGTTTTGAAATTCACGGCAAATCTTCCGTCAAGTATCACCTGAAGGCTAACCATGTAGTTGAAGCGAAACGATGGTTCTGGTCTCTCAACAATGCCATCCAGTACACCAAGGATGAGGCGAGAGCAGACGAGAAGCGGAAGACCAAGGATGCCGAAAGTCTACGGCAGGCAAAGGCGGAGGTGAGTGATAGGTTACGGCCCGACTCAGAAGCTCTGAGCATGGCAAGCGCAAGGCCCACGACGCTTGCGGCGCCTTCATTGCTAACGGTAGGGGGTCCAGCTGGATCACGGGTCAGCGGTGCTGCCTCCTTTCGGACAGAGAGCGCCTTCGGGGACGATGCAGGCTCCAACTATGGCTCCTATGAACCGAGCCTGACCGCCGGAGATGTCGGCAGAGTGGCAACCAATGCTGAAAGGGCGGCTGATGATTTCGACGAAGAACAGGAGGATGATGACGACCGCAGCAGCAACCATGTGCAGCCAGTAAACAAAGATGCATTCAACATCACTGCACAGTCGGCGAAGTTTCAGCTCGATCTTCTGGCTCGTGTATCGGATGCTCTCAGTGCAGAGCGAGCAAAGAACCCCAGCATGCCGATCTCTGATCCGACCGTGTCGCAGGTCATATCCACTTACGAAGCTGCTGTCAGCAGTCTTGACGGCCTTGTTGTCAGTCTCTTGAAGATCTCACGGGATCGTGATGCCTACTGGCAATACCGACTTGACAAGGAAGCCGATACGCGGAAAATGTGGGAAGAGAGTATGGCGCGGATTGCGCAAGAACACGAAGAACTCCAGAAGATGGTGGGTGAATCTGAGGAGAAGCGAAAACGAACGAAACGTGCTTTGAGAGAAGCGCTCGAAGGACAATCCGCTGCTGCCAGTCAGCCTGCCAGTCAGCCTGCCAGTCGAAGCGGGACACTGGATCGTGTCCAGTTCGCTGTGGCTCTAGAAGATGTGCCGCTGAACCGCGACGGCCGTGCGTCAGTGCACCGGAAATCTATCAGTAGCCGAGAGGGCGCTCGGAGAAAGTCTGTCATCGCGCAATACACCAACATCTCTGATTCGGAATCCGGTGATGATGAGGAGTTCTTCGATGCTATTGACGCGGGGGAGGTGGAAATTGTTGCTGCTCCGCTAAGTCCTCCACTGCCTCAAGCTCCCCCCAGCGACTCAGCCTCGGACGAGCGCGAGGTGAAGAGGAAGCAGATCGTGTCGTCGTTTGCGGGCTACGAGGACCCGGTCCGCACGAAACTGAAAATGGACGCCGACAATCGACCCAGGATCTCTCTCTGGGGGATTTTGAAGTCGATGATTGGAAAGGACATGACGAAGATGACACTACCTGTATCGTTCAATGAGCCCACGTCGTTGCTTCAACGTATCGCGGAGGACATGGAATACGCAGATCTCCTGGATATCGCAGCAGACCGGACGGACAGCGCCGAAAGAATGGTCTACGTGGCGGCGTTTGCGGCTTCTGAGTACGCGTCCACGATTGGCAGAGTTGCCAAACCATTCAATCCCTTGCTGGGCGAGACGTACGAGTACGTTCGGCCCGACAAAGGCTACCGCTTCTTGATCGAACAAGTCTCCCATCACCCACCCATCGGAGCTGCCCACGCCGAGTCGGCGAACTGGGACTACTTTGGCGAAAGCGCCGTTCGCTCGAAGTTCTACGGCAAAACTTTTGACATCAATCATCTGGGCACCTGGTTTCTGCGCCTCCGCCCCGCCCACGGCGGTGCCCCCGAACTCTATACATGGAAGAAAGTGACCGCCTCCGTGGTGGGCATCATCACCGGCAACCCTACCGTCGACAACTACGGACCAATGGAGGTCAAAAACTGGACCACTGGCGAGGTGTGCATGCTGGACTTCAAGCAGCGAGGCTGGAAAGCCAGCTCTGCCTACCACGTGACGGGCAAAGTGATGGACCAAGGCGGCAACACGAAATGGAGCATCGGCGGCCGGTGGAACGATAAGATCTACGCGCGCCCGACCCCGGGCTTCGAAGACCAAGATATCTCGCGATCCGTGCCCGTGCACGGCCACGGTACCGACGCCGCAGCGGCGGGCAATGGCAAGCCCACCCGCGGCCGCCCGGGATCCCCTTCAACCTGACGCCCTTCGTGCTGACGCTCAATGCCATCCCCGATCAGCTGAAAGCGCACCTCCCGCCCACCGACACGCGGCTGAGACCGGACCAGCGCGCGATGGAGAACGGGGAATACGATTTCGCGGCCGAGGAGAAGAACCGGGTGGAGGAGAAACAGCGGGCGGCGAGACGGGAGCGCGAGAACCGAGGCGAGGTGTGGAGGCCGCGCTGGTTCACCAAGGAGGTCGATCACACCACGGGCGAGATGTTCTGGGAGTACAAGGGCGCCGAGTATTGGAGGTGCAGGGAGGGTCGACGCTGGGATGGGTGTCAGGATATCTTTTGAGAGGGTTGGCTTGGAGATGGCGAGGTCAGGTTATTGATTGGTCTGGGTCGTCAGCAGCGGGGAGGATGAGTGTGTATGAATATGAATAGTCGTCGATTACAATAGGCTGGAACTGGAGGGCGGTCCCGGACATACATGCCAGATGATAAATGCTAGTAAGTACTAACTAGTAGTAGTAGACGTACTTCCTCACACACCATCATCATCATCATCAGCAGGTTTCCTGTTCTGCGGGACCAGGCATTTCATGGGCTTGCTCTGATTGCTACTATACTACTTATAACTACAGTCCATTGACAGCCGGTTCATTGAACTTGGCGGGAATGATGCAGCTGCATGCACACACCAAACCACCAATCTATCTACTCCTCTATACCCGTCGTCTTCGAGCCATCTCATATGACATGAACCAGTTAGTATCTGTTCCCACCCACCAGCAACACCACACTACCCAACTGGCGCCTCAGATCCTCCCTGTCCACATCATGCGTATCCTCCACCTGGCCCCACATGGCGGTCTGCCAGCTCACCTCGGTGCTGCAGGCCTCGGCCGCCTCCTCGATGCCGAATCTCCTGCCGCCTACCTCCCCTTCCCCTACATGATGCTTCTCCTCCTGCAGCTGCAGGTGTCTAAACTCCTCGCTCCACTCAACCAGCAGCCGCGTAGCGACCAGCAGGCTCTTGGCCGCCAGCGTGGCGCGCTCCAGCGCCGCGAGCTCGTACGCCGGCAGACCGGCCACCCAGCCGCGGATGATGCTGGTGCTCGTCGCCGGTTGCTTCTTCCTGGGCACGATGGAGGTTCCGTCCAGGACCGG